AGGCTTCTATATCTGAACCCAAAACCTGGCAATATAAAATATTGTACAGCATGAAATTACACTGCAAAGTTCCGACCGCAATGGGTGATTAAGTTTAATCAACATTTTGAAGCACAGAACTTGCCACGGCCAAGGACGGGGAAAACCCGCTGATTGGAAATGCAAGCTGATTTGATATAGCTATGTTTTCCTTTCTCAGCTTTGAAGCTCCACCTTTTTCTATCATATGGCTCCAGTAGGAACAAACGATTGAAAATTGTTTATCAAGGAATAGCAGCTATGTTTGGCACATCGCAAGTTAAATATACTTGCAGACACAAAGCAAGAAGCTCATTTAAACAAGAGCTTTATACCGACTTCTTTTGAGCAGAGTGGGATCGTGACGGGTGAAGAAATAAAGAAAAATATAAAAAAATTAACAAGTGTCTAACAATAGAAGCTGATGTGTTAAGAACACAGCCGAAGCTCGTTTTTGTCGAGCTTGTTCCTGTTATCATGAAGAACCAAAAAGGTTTTTCATGCAAAACAAACTTATAGAGCTTTATGGTATGGTAGGTTTCTGTTGATCAGATAAGCAGTAAAGTGGAACTAATAAATGCCAATTTTGGTGAAGCTATCTTGAAAAACCGAAACCGTTTTCTATGTATTTGACAGCTCAATGCTCTAGAGGGAGAGAGAGAGAGAGGGAGAGGCTCTATTGAAATTCCTTTAAGCTTCTCTCTTTGTTTCTCCTTCTTCCTTAACCTCACAAACTGGGACTTTGAATGCAGTTAAGATCGGGGGTACTAGCTCGTCGGCCTGTAATTTTTCATGTATCTTGTTTGGACTTACCGCAAGCAATCCTCCAATTGATTCAGATAGTTTATGGTATAGTTATTGCCGTCCACATAGGAGCTTTGGAATTTGGACATGTCGTGCTGGAAGTAGCCATAGACGGACTGTATGACACAGTCATCGACGGTGGGTGTTAGGCCGGGATAGAGAACTGGCGCATAGCATATCTTGTCCAATCCGGCGTCCTCCGACATGCCCAGCTGCATAATCTGTTCTTGCAGCTCGAATACCTCCTGCAGGAAACTCTGCTCAAAGGCTGGACCAAACGTGAGAATTCCGTTGATTGTCTCGTGTGTAAACTGCGATAAGAGACAAAGAGTCCATTAAAGGGGGAGAGAGAGTGCGAGAAAGAGGGGGAGGGGGAGAGGATGAGTGAATACCTTGTTGGAAATGAGAGAATATTTACCGTATTTTTGTTCACCGGCTTCACAAAGAGCTGATTGGTGCGATAGAAGGGTCCAAAATGCTGATCGAAATAGTCCTTCTCGATGCGCGTCTGACTCTGCTCGCTGGCCCAGAGCTCGACAGGGTCGGTGGTTACGTTCATGTAGACTATACCATAGCCGAGCCCACCAATGGCCCAGGAGCACAGGGCCAGCACCAGGACCGGATGCTTGGCACAGAAGGTGCCCCAGCTGCGACAGCCGCGATACAGAAACTCGCCATACAAGGTTGGCATACAAACATTGGCTCCTCGACGATCCCCGGTGGCACCCCAGCAAATGAAGCCTGTTATCAGCAGGCCCAGCACCAAGGCAACTATAAATGTGATGCCATACAGTCCGGCCACCTGCCACGGATCCACGGGCCCAGTTGGCGCCTCAGTCAATGGGCAGGACTCCTCGCAATCGATGCACGCACAGGCATAGTTGCCCTCATAGCTCTGTCCGCAGTCGAGCGGATGCACCTCCAGATAGTAATCGTCGGAGCCTTCGGGCGCATCCTCCGACCACATGTAATTGATAACGAACGGCACATAGTCGCTGTTCTCAGCATCGCCCATGAAGTTATACCATTTGCGATAATTGCAGGTCTTGGCATTGTAGGCACCACAGCCCAGATCCATGGCGGGTCGACCCGTTTGCGGATGCTGTATGCTGGCACAGCTGTTGTAGATTTTCATGACGCTCTCATCTTGGAGGCGATAATCAATGTGCTCCACAAAGTCCACGTCGTCTGGATTCTTTGCCAGGTAGGCGGTCAAGAAGAGCGAATGATTTTGGGCACAGGTCATGGAGCAAACGGTCAGTGCCATGTTCAACGTACAGGTGGGACACCTTGAATAGACACCATCGGCCTGCGTCAATCCTCCATCCATGGTTACAATCTGTTTTGCATCGCAGCAAAGCTTTAGTTCCTCGTCCCCATTTTCGCCCTTGTATTCCGCATACAGGGTGGGGCAGCGTCTGGCAAAAATGGCTTCCGATTCCGCATTGTTTACGGCCTGGGGGGGACCTGAGTACGCCAAATTCTGTGCATGTTCACCAATCATATGGCTCTCTCCATACCAAATGCAATCGGCCCTCGCGCCCAGCTGCACAGCCGTTGCCAATAGCAGCGCGACCAGTTGCAATTTCACTGCCATTTCAGGCCACAAAAAAACAAAACACAAAAAATAAATAAATAAACGAAAAAAATAACATAAAATAAAACTAAAAAAAAAAAAGAATTTTATTTTGCAGCACAGTTGACCAGCAGCTACTTTTAGCGCAACAACCGAACAGCTCGTTAACTGTCTAACAACTGATTAATCAATTGAAATTAAAAACCAGCTAGCTATGTGGGTAACAGTATCGAACTGAAGTGCTCTCTGCTGGGCATTGATTAGATTTCGGTGCTGATTCGGCGATTAACCAGCTCAGAGCTCCATTAACAGCCCAGCTGCGGCTTATCTGGGCCGGAGGCAGATAAGCCACACGTTGGCAGCCGATTCGGAAATCGATTAAAGTCCCATTGTTGTTGTTATTGTTGTGGTCTTTTCTATTCGAGTAGCAACAAAACTACTTAATCCCTCAAAACTGCATAGGGTCTAATAACTAAAATATATATATACATATATATATAAATATATATCTAAACATAAACTTTTAAACCTATGTTGTCATTTGTACTGGGCGAAATGGTCTGGTTCCAGCATTCCTCAGTACATAACAGTCACAAAATTAATATAATCTATAATTGATCATTTGTAGATCATGATATTTTTATGTTAATAATAAAAATATTAACTAACCATCCAACTATCTTTACCATGGCGAAGATTAAATACCCTAATAAAGAAGAACATTAATAAAAATTTCATAAGCAGAAAAATATTACTATTAAAGATAGTAGTTCAATGTTCATGGGATTTTACTTACACATGAGGAGCAGAGGAAAATAAAGAGCAAATAGAAAAAAGAGGGTGAATGAGAGAAAGAGAAAGAGAGAGAGAGAGAGAGAGAGAGAGAGAGAGAGAGAGAGAGAGAGAGAGAGAGAGAGAGAGAGATAGATAGAGAGAGAGATAGAGAGAGAGAGATAGAGAGAGAGATAGACAGAGATAGAGAGAGAGATAGAGAGAGAGATAGAGAGAGAGATAGAGAGAGAGATAGAGAGAGATAGAGAGAGAGATAGAGAGAGAGATAGATAGAGAGAGACAGAGAAAGAAAGAGAGAGAGAGAGAGAGAGAGAGAGAGAGAGAGAGAGAGAGCGAGAGAGAGAGAGAGAGAGGGAGAGAGAGAGAGGGACAGGGAGAGAGAGATAGAGAGAGAGATAGAGAGAGAGAGAGAGAGAGAGAGAGAGAGAGAGAGAGAGAGAGAGAGAGAGAGAGAGAGAGAGAGAGAGAGAGGGAGAGAGGGAAAAAACGAGAGAGAGAGAGAGAGAGAGAGATACATGGAGTGTGGGAGCAAGAGAGAGAGATACATCGAGTATGAGAGAAAGAAAGAGAGAGAGGGGGAGTACAGTAGAGAGAGATTAAGAGACATCTAGAGTATCAGAGATTAAAATTTGCTACACAATTTCTTTGAATAATATATAATAATAATGTTTTAATTGTGATGTATTGTGTTAAGTCCAGCTTGAATTCGTGAGAATCGCGTAGGAGGGCGATATTTAAAAATTCTATTTTTTGTGTGAATTACATCGCAGCACGACAAGCTATACCTATGACTATATGCACCAATATGTCTATACATGTTATATGTATATTTTATTCTTCCCACATGCATACATGCATGCTTATATACAAATTAAGATTATTTTATTATCCATCAAAAAAACCCAGCAGTCCCAGCAGTCAGTCAGACAGTCAGTCGGTCAGACAGTCAATCAGTCAATCAATAAAACAATATTCTTTATTTTCCTTAGTAGCAATAGAAGAAGATAATACATAAAATGGCTCGTTAGAGGTGTTTGTATGTGATTCACTTGGTTATTCGACACGGCCTAATGGCATTTTTTACCTTGCCAAGTTGCGTCTGGGCGCTTTATATTTTTTATGGTATGCAAGTGTTTTAATAATTTTCAAGACTCCGGCAACTGCCGCTTATCGTGAGCGGGCTAAACAGGTGTTCACTCGAGAATTCGACAACTAACGACCGCGCAGCCAAATGGCAAATAATTTTATAGCGAACTACACTTATCGCGAGTAGCTGCTAAAACAAAAAGAAACACTCATCGACAGATCGCTACCTCAGCTAACCAAAGAAGCCGGCGTCACCAGGCCTATGAATAACCCATTAGTTTAGCCAGGTGTGTGTCCGGTGTTAAAAATGCGCTGATAAGCGCTATATATGCCAATTAGAAATGTCAGCAATAGGTCGTATTACCTAGCTATAAACCCTAACGTGCGATGCGGTAGGTGAGGGCTCGGACCTGATTAAAGTCATCTTTAGCTGGCCAGCTTTAGTCAATAGGTTTGTTTTGCTTTGATAGCAATACTTATTTCGTATATCGAAGATCTTATCAAACGAAATAGTTATAACAAATTATACTTGGTATAATTTTGACTCTGCATATATAATAATGCTCAGCTCGTTATAATTCATATTATCATTATTATTATTGTTATAATGTGATATTTCCGAAGAATAATGTGGCTGGCAAGGCAATCGCTGAAATTTGAGTCAGAAAATTGTATTTCATGTGCTACCAGGCTGGTTCAATAAAATCAAATAGTTAAGTAAGATATGGAAAAAAAGTTTTACTACTCGAAACAAAAAAATTGTGTACACGAAGCAACAGCAGCGTGGAATGGGTATACAAACACAAACAATCAGGAACACAAGACAGAAACACAATCGCAACAATTTGACTCGCCCGAAGATTTGGCCGTAGTGCCCTCCAATCAAAAGGCCAACAGCCAGGTGCAGCTGCCGGTGCAGCCAAAGCCTTTCTGTAAGTAACACAGCTGAGCCCAGATGCCAGCCGAGACTAGATAACCATATAGAGACACACTTTTTTAGCCAACAACTCACGCCATCGCATACTTGAGGACTTGGCCGGCGAGTATCATCGGTTGGTGCGCAATATCGAGTGGCATTTGCCGGGGGAAGCGGCCAATTCGGGCAGACGCTTGGCAGCTGGCGCCAGCCAAGTGCTCTTCAGGTATAGCCATCAGGTCAGGGAGCCTGCGGACTGGCAGCCAGATTTGCAGCAGGATCTGGAAGAGGAGAGTGGCGATTATACCATTGGATTTGTGGAGCTGTTCCGCCAGCGTATGCACTACGATCGACTGGGCATACCGGTAACAACACTAGAACTCATCTACATGGGAGATCGCGAGCGCGAATGGCGCCGACAGCAACGCAGTGAGCGTGAGCGTGAGCGAGAGAGGGAGCGGGAGCGGGAAGAGCTTGAGGTGGAGACCTGCCAGTTCCAGCAGCGCACATGCCAGGACAGCTACACCCAAACTGAGGGCGAACGGATCGAACTGGGTCAGCGTCTGGACGGCGGCTATCGAGCACAGGAGGTCTGTGCGTGCGGCTACATGGAACCGGAACCACCAACCCCATGCGTTGAACTCTACTGTGCTGCCGACTTCAACGGCGAATATGACGAGCCTATCCACGAGATGGAGCCATGGCAGCAGGCATGCGAAGATTTGCCTGCACTGGAGTTCTATGAGCCGGTCGACCCTCCAAATCCGTTGAGCCCGTACACTGGGCAGAGTCAGCAGGATCGACCATACGCACAATCCAGTCAGTACTTTGATATGTTGCCGATGCCGTCAAGGCATTACCATCAGCCGCTGTCGGAAGAGCAAGCGCCTATCGAGCCGCCTTTTGAGCTGGAGCCGTACCAAATTGTTGATCCCAATCCAGCGGAACGATCGGTAGATTGCGGCTGCTACAGCTGCCAGGCTATGCACAATGTGGAAAGCATGAATAGCAAGCGCTTGATCAATAGGACAGCGCCACCACCGCCGCCGCCGCCACCGCCGCCTATACCACCGCCGCCACCACCGCCACCACCAACAGCAACAAGCCCAGCAATAACACCAGGACCAGCTCCACCACCCCCACCACCACCAAACTATGTATTAGCCACAGCGCCGAATGAGCGCAGCAGTTCGGCACATCAAAAGAAGGGGGAGAATGGAATGCCGGAGATGAAACGGGATGCCAAATCGAGCCAGAGCCAACTCAAGAAGCCACATGCACCTGGCTTCCGCTATCGCTATCCATCAATATCGAATTACAGCGGCAAGCGGACACAAAGTCTGGAGTCCAATGATAATGTCGAACTGACCCATCGGCTGCGCCGCACGCCCAAAATTGTGAATCTGCCCGGCCGGGTGGCCGCCCAGCAGCATGCGGCAAAGCGGTTCGCTAAATGCCCGGCGCACAGTCTGGATACCGCGGATAAGGTGCAGCTGCAGGTGCTCTTGGCACCGTGCACACCTCGTTTGCTGCTCAACGAACAGAATATGTCCGGTCTGATGAAAACCAAGCCAATTGTCCACACAGAGACATCGTCGCTGCAGCAGCTCGATCATGAGCTGGACGGCATGCCAGAGATACCGCAAGCAGCTGCTCAGCTGTCGTCCGAGTGGAGTGGCATCAAGCACGGCTCGGCGGACACCCTAAACGAGGTGTGGTGCAATCCGAGCGCCTTTGACAAGACTCGCCCACCCGGCGGCTTATATAGTCCGCGCGAGCGTATCAAATATTTGCCAATCGATGCATTGAATGTTGGCCATGTGGGCGCACCCATCCTGGGCGAGGAGGCCGCACGCGCTGCCATTGAGCGCTGCGCCTACTTGTCCCGGGAGTTCGACTGCCTAAGCCGGGAGCAGCGTGCCCAGGACATTGCCTTGCGGCTGCGCCAGTTGCGTCTGTTTCAGGATAAAGCCAGCCGCTATTATATGCGCATGCTGAGCGCCAAGGGATCGGACGACTGCCGGAAGCCAAGCATCGGGGACACAAGTGGCATGCAGTTCGAGTGTCCACTACGCATGCCGGGCTGTTCGCGGCTGCTTAACGAATCGCTGCTGGCCCACTTTCTGGAGGTGCATCTGAGTGAGCCGGGACTGGCCCTCAATGAGATCTACGAACGGGATCAGGTGCTGATCATGTTCCAGCCGCGCTCCTTCAAGCGCTCGCAGAACGTCTGCCTATCGATGATCGTCTATGCTGGGTACAAGAATAAACCCTTCGAGCTGCCACTCAAGCATTACGCACACGTCTACAATGCGGGCCTGCCCAAAGGCTATGCCAAATACACGGGTCACATGCCCCTCTTTGTGATGGCCTGTCGCACCCGACTGCAGGCCAATGAGCGGACAGGCGGGCAGCCTCTGCAGCAAAAGCAGCAGCAGCAGCAGACGCAGGGATCCACAGATTTCCATTCCGCAACGGCAAACGCATCGAACGCCACATCCGAGACCCCGTCTGCCGCTGAGGAGGTGCACATGGGCGGTGAGAACGTAATGGCCCTGTGGATGGTCAGCTTGAAGCTGCCGCAGCCGGTGCACGTGCACATGACCGTCTTCAATCGGCGCGTCGACATCTGCCGCAGCAGCATTATGCAGGTGCGTGGTCTCGACAATTGTCACAATTGCGATCAGTTCATGCTGAACAGCACGAACTATATGCGACTGACCGGACAGGACTTGCGTGTGCTTACCAATGATTACACAGAGCCCATCTATTTGGAGCTCTCTGTTCGGGATTATGCGATACCCATTACCCACGATAGACCCATCAAACTGCGTCCCACGCTGATCCAATGATGTGAAAATCCCTAAGCCCGAATGGCAAAGACTCGGGAAGCGAAACTTTTATGTAGTCCATGCTCTCAACGATTTGTTAACCAAATTTTATTGCAATGTTTCTAGCTAGTAAAAAACTAACCATATTTGGCATCAACAATAAGTAACTAGTAATAAAAGTACCCCAGAGATATGCGCTCTTGCCTTTGCATGCCCTCGAAGAGGGTATTCTCAGTTTGTCATGAAATATGCAGCGCCTAAAAGTAGACATTCTCAATTATAATTAATCATTCAATTATATTGCTTATATTCATGCCATTTTATGAACACATAATCATATAGCTGCCATAGAAACGATCTGTTCAAAAAGGTCGCTGTTTCATGTTTCAATTTCCTTTAGGTTTAGTTCGTAAAGATTGTTTTCTGGATCCTTGAATCCAGAAATTGGTCAAAACCCTTATTATTTATGTATTTTTCAATCTTTCTTCAGTAGGAAATCAACTGAAAAATATTGCTCTAAGCTGTCATATATCAAATATGATTGGATAAATCCAATAACTAGGGCCTTTTTTAAAGTCTTCTTTATTTGAAATTAAACCTTTTTCAAAAAACGTTTTTAGACAAACAGGCTAATTAAAGGATCGGTTCGTTATAAAAATAAATAAATGGTATTTCCGGTTTGCAGCCTAGGTCTAATGTGATCTTGCTGCATACATATGCAGCTGTGGACCAGCTGTTAAGTCGAACTATGCCTACTGCTGAACAGTGCAAAAGCTTTGGCCACTGCTAACTAACTGTTAGCATAGTGTTAAGTTTGCGTTCTCTTTGGTTTTAGCTCTGCTGCTCTGCTGCTGCGGTTACTGCTGCTGCTGCCTGCGACGCTGTCGCTCTCAACTGCCAACTGCAGCAAGCGGCGGCTTTATTTATTTTTTAATGCCGGGCAGAATGCTATTGAACTCTCACACACACACACACACACACACACACACACACAAACACGCATGCACACACATGCACACACATACAGAGAGAGTATTTAGCATTTTGGCAGCTGCTGCTGTTGCTGCAAAATGCATAATGCATGGATTGTTGCCGGCATTCAGGAGGCAGCTAATTTGATTAGTTGCTTGGCAAAACATAAAATGTGAATAGAAACCAGAAACCGAAAAGTCAGTTAACCGAAAGCAGCTAATTGAGCCACTGTCAGATTATTTACCGACGAAACCGTTAATGGAGGCATTCAAAGTGCGAAGTGTATGCGGAACATGTGGACACGTGCTCTGCAAAGTCCAGACCTACATGAACAATCCAAAATGCGTTCGGCAGCAGCGGCGGTGGCGGCAGCAGAAGCGCATCTGCAAAGCGGCACCCTCCTGCCCTGCAATGCAGCGTTCCCGAAAATCTGTTCCCGTTACCGTTCCAGATAACTTGCTTTCTACGTTCCAGGCGCATTCTGGAAAATTGTGTCAAGCTGACGACACAATTTTCAAATCGCATGCCCGGAGTTGCAGTTGGCTTCCCAAAAACAATCACAAAAAAGGAACGAGAGGAGTAGAAACAGAGTCAGAGAGAAAGAGTGAGAGAGAGAGAGAGAGAGCGAGAGCGCGCGATGGCAGCAGAGAGACAGACAGTCGCGCACAGAAAGACAGACAAAGAGCGAATACGAGAGTGAGAGCGACCAAATTCGTAAGCTGACGTTGCACTAATATCGGCAAAGGTATTTCGCTCCGGTACAGTAGCGTAACAGGAAGTGGTGCATTAACACGCGCCGCAGCTGATGACGACGACGTCGCCCAAAACTTTAACTGGCCCGGGCCCCAAAAGAGCGCGTCATTAAGATAATCATAATAATAATAATAATAATAATAATAACAGGAAAGGCATAAACAACAACAATTGGCGAAATCAGCAGAAGGTTAAAAATGAAGAAGAAGAAGAAGAAGAGTGCGCGAACTATGTGTGTGTGTGTGTTTTTTTTATTATGTGGGTGTGTGTTTGTGTGTGTGTGTGTGTTGTGTATTATGAGTGGCATTTTATAATTTCGCGCAACTCCCTCCGATTGCATCACCAAAATAGTCAGCTGCAGTCTCAACTTTTGCCTTTAACCTAACGTAATCCGTTAGGACCAGGCAGCGACGCGACTTCGACGTCACTAGCCTACAAAACTGTGACGTCGTTTGTAGGCGACTCTCTCACTGTGTGTGTGTGTGTGCGTGTGTATGTGAGTGTGTCATCAATTTTTGCATTTTGCAGCCTTAAAATGAGCAAACGAATGACGTAGATCCCCATTGATGTTCCGCTGCGTTTCATTTCGCAATTCGCAATTCGCGTTTCTCATTTGGTTGCGGCAAAAAAGCCGAAAAACCTAAAAAACCGACAAACCGGCTACACAAATGTCAAAACGTGCGAGCGAGCAGGCCGGCCTGCTTCTGTGGGTTGCAGTGTGCGTGGAACAGAGAGAGCGATGCGGATGCCGCTGACGCTAACGCTAACGCTGACGTTGTCGCTGCCGAATCCCAATTGCCGAGCCGACAAGTGCCGAACACGAAAAACGTGCACACGTGCAGCATGCAGAGACGCACGACGGCAGGCGACAAGAACTTTTTTGGTGTGAATGCCTTCTGCACAAAAACGTGGTTTTTCGGCTGTCAGCGTTGCAGTTGGCGTCGCAGCTCACGTCGCGGTCGCAGTCGCAGTCAGCGTTGGTGTGTGTTGCGTTTTTATGATTGTTGCAATTCTTATTCGCTCGTAACTGTTACCCAGTTTAACAGCTTGAACAGTTAACAGTTCACGTTAACAGTTTAATGGCGCGTCGCTGTTAACTTACAGGCGCTGTACACAATTACTTTTTGTTGCATACGTCAGGGCGCAAATTGAAAACTTTCGCAAACGATCGTTGCGTGCATTGCAGTTGTATGCGCACATATATTAATGATTCCGATTATCTCTATCGTATTTTCTTGCATCAACTTCAAGTTTCTTGTTTTCAGTACAATCTGTATGTTCTTGATATGATATATTGAAATATGTTTTATCAACCCCATAAACTACATGCACATATATTTTGGATCTGTATCAATTGTCGAGTCGCTATAACCATGTATCTCTGTTACTTTGTCCGTCGTTCTGTCTGTCCATTTCTATGCGAGCTTCATTTTGTTACAGAATGGATCGTTCCACTGTAAAAACACTCCTGTTAGTTCAAATTGGATGCACATTTTGCAAAGTTTGAGGATTATTTTTAGTTATTTATGCTATTATTTATATATCAAGTTAACAAAGAAGAATGCCCTCTTAAAATAAAGATGCTGTTTAATATTTTGAACATCATCTTAGCTTACGTAAGGATAATAAATGAAAATTCCCAATTTTTAAAGAATATTTTGGCAAACAAAATTTTGTTAAAATTTTGTTTCTCATACGCCAGGTGGCACGCGTTGTCATTCAGCAATGAAACTGCTCTAGTTTATAAAGGCATATTTATGCATGGCAACTGCAAAAACAAACAACAGACAACAAATAAGAACAACAAAAGCAACTAGAAGAGTTGCAAATGCAATTGCAAATCGCGTCAGTTCTCTTTAGACGGCTCCGGCTTTGACTCCGGCAAACGAATCTTATTTTGGCTGTGGCTTCGTTGCTTGCTCATTGCCTTCGGGTTGAAAAGGGGAAAAAAGTGTTTCTGTTGTTATTGCTGTTGTTGTTGTTGTTGTTGTAGTTGTAGTTGTAGTTGTTGCTTGCTTGCTTGCTGCTTCCGCCAGTTGCCGGAAGTTGCACGAAGTGCACAAAAGCTTTCGGCATTTCAGTTCTCTGGTTCTGTTAACCAAACTGAGAGCAGGAGCAGCGGCTACCCAAATGCAAATGTTGTTTGGCCTGGCAAATTGGCAATGGCCAAAAGACAAAAGCACAAACACCGACGACAAAGAGCAGCGCAACAGCCGTCGTCGCAGTAGCAGTAGCAGCAGCAGCAGCTGCGTCGACTGTGGCAGCATTCGCTGTTATTGTTGTTGGCGGCGCACAGCGCTGGGCCTCTGTCGGTCTCATCGCAGTCGCAGTCGCATCTCGGTCGCATTCGTGTGCGGCGCTTCACCGCTAAGCGACGTCTCAAATATATTTCGCTGCCTACACACTGCCGTTGCTGCTTTACGACGTCTCTACAAAAGTGTATGTATGTGTGTGTGTGAGTGAGTGAGTGAGTGAGTGTGTTTGTGTGTGTGTGCCTGTGTGACTAGCTATGTGTCTGCGCCTGAGTATCGGTTCGGCTGCCTTCGGCCAGCTGTTCGTGTGAGCGTCGTTGTTGTTCGGCAAATCGTTCGTGTTCGCATTCGTGCCTTCGTTTCGTTGGAGCCATCGCTGCTGCTACCGACTGCTGCTGCTGCTGCTGCTGCTGCTGCTGCGGCTGCGGCTGCTAATGCTTGCTGCTGGCGCTTCCAAACGCTCGCTGGCCATGCAGCAAAAACAGTTTACATTTGTTTTTCCGCGTGCTCGCACACGTTGACTGACACGGTCTGCGACTCAGCGAGCGAGCTTTGTCTGTCTGTCTGTCTGTCTGCGAGTGTGCGTGTGTGTGTCTGTCTGTCTGTTTGTTTGTTTGTGTGTCTCCCCGTCTGTGTCCGTGTGACCAGAGTGCCGACCCGGAGTTGCCACAGAGTGACCGGAGTTGCATGGCCGAACTAAGAGCACTCGAGCTTGCTCCAGTTACTGGCCTGTTCTAGTCCACGCTCTGGTCCGGTCGCTGCAACTGCAACTGCCATTAGATCGGCAGCCAACGGCGAAAGCAGCATCCAGTAAGCCCTCCAATCCCTCCCCGCTCCCCAACTTATCCCAGTTGCATATTATATACACACACATATATATATATATATATATATGCATTTGAAAAGTCGAAACTTGATTTTTGTACATTTTCCTTTTTAATTGTACTTTTTTTTTCATATTTTTTTTTAATTGTTTCAATTTCGAGTTTGATTTGAAATTCGACTGCAGCTCGGCTTCGGCTTGGCCGCTCGTGACTGGCTGCCGAAGCTGCTGTAAGCTGCAGCTAAACGCTGAACGCTGAGGACGACGCTCGTGAGTCGTGTCGAGATCGGAGCGCCGCGCGGAAGTGCAGTGTGAAAAGCGGCAAACGGAAACGGAAGCTGGCAAAAGCAAGAGAAACAGTTAACAAAATACAATTTATT